GCAGATCTGCTGCACAAGACCTTTTTGAAGTGTTGAAGAACAAAGATGTCAGCTTGAGGCCTAAGGTGTGCCTGACCCAAACCATCATATTTTCAATAACCTCATATGCATGCGAAACTTGGCAGTGAATAAAGTAGACCATAGAAGAATTGATGCATATGAGTTATGATGCTGGAGGAGAATATTGAAAGTGCCATGGGCTTCCAAAATAAACGAACAGATCTGTGTTGGAAGAAGTGCAGCCTGAGTGCTCCTTGGAGGCCAAGATGATTAAATTTCATCTCTCATACTTTGGACATATTGTCAGGAGAGACCAGCCACTGGAGAAGGATATCATGTTTGGTAAGGTGGAGGGTCAGGGAAAAAGAGGAAACCCCCAGCGAGATGGATTGGCATCAGTGGGCTCAAGTGTGATAACAATTGTGAGGTTGTCCCAGGACCGGGCATTGTTTCGTTCTCATGTGCATAGGGTTTTTATGAGTCGGTACCAACTCTAATAGCATCTAACAACAACAGTGGTCACAGAAAGTAGGTTAGTTGCTGCCTAGTGTTGAAGTGAGAATTAAAATATGAGAGCTAAGTAGCACTGAGTTTCTCTTGGCAATAATGGGAATGTTAGAAAATGCATTATGGTGATGGATACACAACTCTGAATAAAAATTTAAACACCATTGAATTGTACATTTTAAATAGGTAAGTTATTTAGTTTGGGGAATTATATATCTCAATAAAGCTGTATAAAATGTTTGCTTTGTGAAAATGCAAATAGCAAGACCTCTGCAATGACTTTCCAAATATGAATTATGTTGCTCATATATGTAGTGTGTGTTGTTGTTACGTGCTGTGGAGTCGGTTCTGACTCATAGCGACCCTGTACAGGGTTTCTGAGGCTGTAAATCTTTGTGGGAGCAGAAAGCCTCATCCTTTTCCCATGGACTGGCTGCTGGGCTCAAGCTGTCAACTTTATAGTTCACAGTCCAGTGTTTATTCTGTCAAGCCACTGCACTGCCCCATGGAAATGTAGTTTATAATATACCATGCTTACTTACTAGAAATTCTATCATGCATGTAATTTTATTTTTTTAATTCTAGGTCATTGCTTAGAATATGCTATTATGTTGGATAAAGAAGCCAAACCTTACAAAGTTGACCCTTTTGTGATTATCATTAAGTTTCTTTTGGGGTAAGTCTTCATATTAGTAATAATTGTATTACTTTCATTATATATAAAAAAAACTATTTGACTCCATATGTAATACAAATTTTCTGGAAGTTGACTTCTTTCATTAAGGTGAGATTTTTCTGTTGAGGTGAAGACCTAATGTATATGTCAATGCTTACTTTAGTTACATTTTAAAATATTTTATAATAAATATAATTTTTATTTTAAAGATAATTGTTGAACTTACATGTATCAACCTTTTCCCTGGACTGTGCAAATGGTTAAGTGCTCAACTACTAGTCAAATTATGGGCAATTTGAATCCACCCAGAGATAACCTCAGAAGACAGACCTGACCATTTGTTTCTGTTTCCAAAAGATCACAGCCTTGAAAGCCCTGTGGATATTGGGGTCACCATGATTGGAATTGACTTTACAGCAATAACCATAACAACATATCAGTCTAAGGTTAAACTGTAAATAACATAGGCCTTTAATGTTCGCAAAAGGAGTTTATTAAAATCTCTGATGAAGCATTACCTCAGATTACTTTCTCTTGCTTTCCATACAAAATATTGTTTTGATCTTAATTTATTAGCATTTTGCATTTTTGGGTTAAAAGCCTTTACTTCCTTAGATTCTTTGCTTTCTAACAACAACAATAAAGAACACAGTAATCTGCACAAGGAGTAATAGAGCATTAAAGCTTTATTGAGTCTCTGATGCTTGAAAAGCTAGCATGCCCCTTTGCAAGTTCAATGACTTATTCCATACAAGGAGTTCAAATTTCTTTTTCAGTGAAATTTAAATGACTGTGCACCATAGGACTTTAGGGACTCTAGTGAATGGCCATATGCTTTAAATGGTGAGTCTTTTTTGAATGTCAGTTGTTGATTTTAAAATTTTTTGTTTTCTTTTATCCGCAGGTATAAATGGTTTAAAGAATTATGGGATGTTTTATTGTTACCTGAGTTGGATGCCATCTATTTCACTAGTCAGAGTATGTGTTTCCCTCTTGTGTCCTTGATTCTTTTTCTGTTTGGAACATGTACTGCCTACTGGGGAGGCCTCCTCGCTTCCACATCTGTGAGGCTCCTATCTTCATTGTGGCTAGCTTTGAAAAGGTAAAGAATGAATGACTAGAAACATTCTCATTGCTATTGAGAAAAGAATATATACACATCTGTTCTAATAAGGAACTTTAAAATATATTTTCACTGAACTTTAATTTTTAAGAGAAAATGTATACTGAGCAAACGCATGGATTAGTTTCAAGTTATGTCCTTGTCAAAACAAATCATTTGTTGCAGGTTAAAGGTTGGAGTCCTGGTGTGGCACCATAGGATAAGCACTCAAGATTGGTTTGAACTGCAAGGTTGGTGGTTCAAGCTCACCAGTGGCTCCTCGGAAACCTTATACAGGGTCGCTATATGAGTCGGAACCAATTTGTCAGCACTTAACAAATGAAATGTTTGATTTTGTCTTTAGTGCTGAAGAGCTAGTCATAAAAGTTTGGCAAATTGTACAAACGCTTTTAATTTCAGTTTTGTAAATCTTCTCAGGCGGCACTTTGTATACTGTTGTATAATCAAACTTGAAGGCTTTTAGTATGCTGTTTTTTATCAAACTTCAAGATATTTATGATCAGCATAGATGAGATGTCATAAGAGTTCTAAAAATGCTGCCTGAGTTGTTAAGTGCCGTTGGTTCCAACTCACAGCATCCCTGTGTAGGGTTTCTGAGGAGCAGCTGGTGAATTCAAACCGCTAACCTTACGGTTCAAACCAACCTTGCCGTCCAGTGCTTATCTTTACAGTGCCACATCAGGACTCCAAAAAAATATTCCCTAGACTTGTATTATAGTCCCAAAGACTTTGAATCTAAATTACTAGTAGCCTTTGTGGTAAATAACTGAGTTAGTTTATATTGCCACTCTTCTTTACCAGACCTGTTATGTAACTTTATGTTGTTGTTATGTGCCGTGGAGTCAGTTCCGACTCATAGTGACCCTGTACAGGGTTTCCGAGGCTGTAAATGTTTACGGGAGCAGAAAGCCTCATCTTTCTCCCACACAACAGCTGGTAGTTTCGAACTGCTGACCTTGAGGTTCACAGCCCGATTCGTAACCACTACGCTACTAGAGCTCCATAACTTTCTGTTATAGAGAAGATTATAGTGTGGAGCTTCATCTACCACCCATCTCATACACTTCTGACAGGGGTTTATTGATGTTAGCACCAACCATTTGAATGATCTTGAGAATTTAAGAAATAGGAAATTATTCATCATCATGTCAGGATTGGAGATGGCATGACACAAGTATTTTTCTTCCTTAGTGTAAGTTTCAGCCATAGTGTATCTAAATGGTAAAAGAGGAACTACCACAGTGTGTTACATACCTTGTAATCCGGTGTTAATAACTGTTTGTATTTATAAAAATTGCTTACTCTTTACCTTTTAATATTTGTGTTTAATAAGCAGGAGAAACTGTCAGGATCATTGAATTTCTTATATGTGATGATGAAACTAAATATATTCATTTTTTTAATGCTTTATTCTTATTATTGCAGACCCTCTCAACTTCCTAAAGATATCAAGGTGATATCACCAGACTTGCTTATTTTGACAGTTGTTTTGATCATAGTTAGTTGGGCAACTTGTGGAGCATTTGCTATTCTTCTTACTTATCTTTACTATGTGTTTAAGGTATGTCAATAATAAGCTAGAATGGCTGGACTTAGTACCAAGCAGGCATAACATTTCCTGTAGATATTGTTATAAGTTTTAATTTACCAATATAATAACCTTTTGTTGTATCCTAGGTTTAAATGTAAACATTTTTTGTTATTTTAATTATATACAGTTAAGTACAGAACTGAAATTAATATTCTGAGTTGGATTTCTTGGGTTAAAAAAAAGTCACCAGTTTCAGATTGGTTTCTTCTCCTGTAAGTGATGTTGACTTTTTAAAAAAACATTTATCAGAGCAACTTTTATTCACCTTTCTTTTTAGCATTGGTGATACACAAAACAGAAAGAAAGTATGTCATTGGGATCAAGCTATCAGTCATGCTAAGACAGTGTAGAATGTTTTTGAAGTATAAGAAGTCAATGATAATAATAATTACACTATTTTTATATATTGTAATTATGTAAAAACATTCCCAAGAAGACTGGCAGCTTTATAGAAATGCCAGTTTGAGTTTTTGATATCCAAAGAAAATTTACTTGGATCAGAAAAATCTGCTTAGAGCAACTTTGATTTGTAAATGCAGTATTTTTAGCTTTAAAAAAATTAAGTATTTAAAGCTGCTGACCCAAAAGTAAAACTTTCTCAAATACTTAAATAACTTAAGGGAATAATAAATTAAGCTTATAGATTTTGTCAGGTTGTGTAAACATTTCACAACTATATATAGTAGAATTCAGAGTTTCAAGATTAAAATATGTAGACTATGTTAAATGCCTTATACTGTATTGAATATAATCAAATTCACAAGGCACTTTTAAGATCTTGCAAGGTGTCATTTAATCATAAGTCCACAGAATTTCAGAGGTATACCAATACAGTCTGTCCCTAATATACTTTGTTGTTGTTATGTGCCGTGGAGTCGGTTACGACTCATAGCGACCCTATACAGGGTTTCCAAGGCTGTAAATCTTTATGGGAGCAGAAAGCCTCATCTTTCTCCCGCGGAACAGCTGGTAGTTTCGAAATACTGACCCTGAGGTTCACAGCCCGAATCGTAACCACTACGCTACCAGAGCTCCTTAGAGTTGTTTTTCATGGTTTCTGGGATCTTTTAATCCGTCGTAGCAAGCATATATAGTTTTTTCTTATCTCTAAATAAAATAATGTTTTTAAATGTTTAAATGAATTTACAATTGTTTGGGTAGTTTTTGTTTGATATTATAATTCTCAAATTAAGAAAAATGCTTTTCTTTTTGTTTCAAATTAAAAGTAAAATCAAAAGTCATTTCTTTTTCATAGGTTGTTCATCTGCAAACCAGCCTAACAAATTTTAAAAATGGCCAGATTGTGGTAAGTTTCACTTCGAACACTGCATCACTTTCATATGAAAGAACATGGAAAATGCAATTTTGTTTTTTAAAAAAGGTTAGGATTTTACAGTGTTTTAAAATTCATATCAATTTAAGTAACTTTAAGAAAATTGAACCTAAGGAATATTAAATTAAACTTCAGTAATCTTATACTTTGATCTTTGTTAGTATCTTAGTAGTTTTTGTTATAAATTATTTTCTTTAAACCTTTATTTTGATGATTTCTTAGAGGTATATTCTCAGGAGTGGAAATAGCAAGTCAAAAGAATAAAAGTTTTTTAACTAATAGCCATGTTAAAATATTTTTTTAAACGAAGTGATTTCAGTGTTTATTTTACATTATTTTGGTAATAGATAGATGTATTTAACCTAGTTGTTAAATAATTTACCATGACCTTAAATAAAGCAGTATTATTTTTGTGTGTGTTTTTAATATTTTTATATTTTTACTTTACTGCTTTATAGAATCCCAAACACTCTAGAAGAAGTGAAAAAAAATCCAGTCACCACAAAGACACTACAGTACACCATCTTCGTTTATCAGCTAGTGATGTAGAAGATAGTCTTCGCATGCATAATACTGTGATTAATTTACTAACATGGATTGTGTTACTCAGTATGCCATCTTTAATTTATTGGTTAAAGAATCTTAGGTACGTTTTATTTATGTAACTAATATCTATATGATTCAAACGACAAATATTTGTAGGTAGAGACTTTTTACAAGATTCCTAATGGCCCAGAAAACATCCTCAAGAACCAGAAGCTGTGTATTTTGTTTGTTTTCTCCTCTCTAAAATGAAACATTATTTTAGAGAGAATCAGAATCTATACATACTTGCTATCATGGATTTTTAAAAGAACAACACAAAAGCAAAGCAAAACAAATGTCCAGAGTGTATTAGGGACAGATTGTATTGGTATACTTGACACTTATTTTCAGTATATATGTATCATCTACCTTAAAATGAAAATATAAACTTCCCCAAAATATAACCGTTCATAAAAAGGCAGTTTTATTTTACTTATTTTTTAACCTTCTTTGAGTCTAGACAGATGAGAGAATGTGCTTTGTTTTGTAGACTTTAGGTATTCTACCTACTGCTGATGTTTCAATTCATGATTCTATTTTATGTTTTCTAACATTCAAGGGAACAAAAATGCTTATATTAAAAAGTAATGAAATAAGTATACTTTTCTAATATGACCCTTGCATTAAACTAAAATAAACAATAGCTATTTTAATATTTAAATTCATTTGATTTGTCATCTTATCAATGTCTTAGTTTAAATGAAAGTATAAAAATACACTTCTAAGATTACTTCTAGAGTTTTTAATATTTAGTGAGTTATTGGAAAACAAAGTTCACCTCATTCAAGTAGTAGTTGAATATAGTTTTCAGGAATTATATAAATTATCTAGATACATTATTTAGATAATTATTTATAGGTTATAGAAACACAGAAAATACTTTTTACATCATTAGAACAAAAATTAATATATCACAGATTGTTGCTGTTGTTAAGTGACGTCAAGTTAGTTCCTACTCATAGCAACCCCGTATATAAGGTTTCTGAGCTGGTGAGTTTGAACCACTGACCTTGCAGTCCAGTGCTTATCTCCAGCGCCAAAATTTGTTGTTGTGTCATTGTTGTTAAGTGTGCGTCGAGTCAATTTTGACTCATAGTGACCCTGTATAGCATTTCTAAGAAGCTGCTGGTGAGTTTGAACCACTTACCTTGCAGTTCAGTCCAATCTTGCAGTCCAGTGCTTATCTTACAACACCGTTCCAAGACTTACATTGTTGTTGTTAAGTGCCGTTGAGTCAGTTCCTACCCATAGCAACCCTGTATTGGGTTTCTAAGGAGCGGCTAGTGAGCTTGAACCACCAATCTTGCAGTTCAAACCGACTTTGCAGTCCAGCACATTAATCCACATAGTCATACCAGGACTCACATTAGCATATATTATTAATATCCTTTGTCTTTCATGTCAGTTAAGATCTGTTTTTGGGATCAGAAATCAGAAATATATGAGAAGCACAAATTTAAGGATTTGAAACACTGTAGATATCACACTATCAGTAAATACAAGAGATGAAAATTTGTATTTTAAAATTATATGGGGCAATTCTATAAGTCTTTGTTTCTGTGTGACTTTTTAATACAGCATTTTTCCACAAACTTTTTGAATTTCCCTTATATAAATGAAGTTTTTATAAAATAATT